CGTTCTAATTTTAATCTTGACCTTATTTTTTTTAAATTTTGAACTATAAAAATAGTATATAAAAAACACAAAATTATTAGGAGAAACTTAAAAATAATATTTTATTGTTTCTCATTTTTTAAGCTCTCTAAAAATGTTAGATAAATGTCAGTCAGAAAATATCCTCAAATTAAAAAATATTTCTTTTATTTAAAACTCATGACATTAAAGTTTATTTTATTTATTTATGTTTTTAGAATTTTTACCCAAAAGCACTTTTTTCTTATATTATTTTAAACCAAAAAGTAACTTACTTGCCCCACTGTGCAGCTAAAGCTTCTGCGCCCTCTGGCGGTTGCTTGGGTGAAACCATAACAGAAAGCTGACAAAAGCTTCGACTTAACACTCTCGAATTCCGCTCTCTTTGAAGCAACAGAGAGAGAGAGAGAGAGAGAGAGAGAGAGAGAGAGAGAGAGAGAGCTTAAACTTGTTTTTATTGCTGAAGGCAGCTTGTCTGGCAATTTCCCCCATCCGCCCACCCAACACCGCCCCCAATTCCACCCAACCCCCCTCAGAGTGCTCAAACATTGGAACTCATCAGCGGACGCAAGACCGTTGGCTGAAACACGTGCGCCGAGTCGTTTATTAAACGACTGCCCCCTTGCCCCCTCTTTCTCTGGAAAAAAACCCTTTTAAAAATCGCTCATACGCAGCGTTGGCGATTAATTAGAATTCAAGTTACTGCCTTAGTAGTTTGTACCTTACCCTACGACAACAATCACGATCGAAATCGAAAATTCCGTGTTTGCTGACGAATTTGTTATTATTTTGCGCCCTCCTTTTTTTCCCGCGGGGTCACATGTTTGGCCAGGCGACGATGTCAGCGCTGCATTGCAATTTTCCTTTTCGCTTCTCTTTTTGGGCTACTCGAATTTCCAGTCCAAAGTGCCAGGTGATAAGGCTGAGAGTAGGAGAAGGGGGGTTGGTTCTTTCCCTGACCACCCCACTCCGCTTTGACTTTAATTACGTAAATCAATTTCCGTCTGCTGAACTTCAACTTTGCACCTGATTCCCTTGCTGAAAAAAGTGTCTGCTCGTAGATATGGAATTTCAGTTTTATTGTCTGGTCAGCGGGCAGGTAAACCAACCTGTTGGCCAAGTTTCTTACTGATAAGCCGCCCGCAATATAATTTTTATTTCTTATTTCTTAACTTGTTCTATAAAACCGTAAAAGTTTCGACAAGATATGGCGCATGTTGGGTTTTTAGCATTTCTAGCTAATGAATGAAAGCTTAGAGATTTGATATTAAAATGCTAAGTTGATTAGGGAAAATGTGGCGTGGTTGAGACCTTGAAAGGGGTGGATATCTTTTGGATGAAAAAACTGTAAGAAAAGAGAAGATCTAGCTTATTTGTGATGACTGTAATGATTGGTCAATTAATTCAGATAATATTTATGAAACTATTTAGCAGATCAATCTGTCTTTAAGATTGTTATTTCCATTAATTAGTTCCAGTCGAGTTTTTAATTACAAGAATACGTTTTAATTATATAGATGAAGTGCTATTTGTTTTTCATTAAGACTAAGGAACTTTGACTTAAGCTGAATATTTAATAATTTATATATTTTTTATTTAAATTCTTCCCAAAACTACCATCACTCATCCCTCTAGCTAACTATAATTGATTAATATCACCCAGGCACTTGCCCTGATTTAGTCTAACAATCTTATTTAGTTTAGAATATAATTTTCACTCTCCAAACTCGTTGTGACTGCTTTATCTGGGTCAACTGATTGCAGGCGGGCCCTTAATAAGCCAGTTATGCTGTCGTTAAAACGTTTAAACATTTCCAGCATTTCTAAATAATTATTTAGCAAAATGTTAATTTACGAGCTGCTGCACTAAACACGTGTATAATGACTCGAACGTCGCCAGCCCAGAGACCCATAAACCTCGCCTCTCCAGCGGTTCCATTAAACACCTCTAAGGGCACCTGGAACCAGTACCAACCAGACGGTTTCCATGCAAACACAGCAAATCACAGAATGTTTAATTAAGTTTTGATTTGTTGAGTCTTGTCTTGGTATTAGTGGCTCAATTCTGCGGCGACATTTGTTGGGCAAAAACGGCACAAAAATTTCCATAATTTGTTTTCCGTTTGTCGCAAGGAAATTCTATATTAAATGGGAACTTATATATATTCATATTTATTTATTTTTAGTTTTATTGCACTTAAATTTTAAGTAAACAAAAATATATATTATATAGGCTTGTGATTATTATTTTGTAGTATCAATTCTAGTTTGAAAAAAGATTGCAATCATTGCTAGATTTTAATAGGTTTATTGCTGACAAAACACTGGGAAAATATTTACTTAAATTGGCCTCTAAAAATTAATAACTTTTTGGAAAAAAAGAATGATTAAGTTATTTTATGTAAACTTTGGCCAAACCTTAAGCTACAAAGGCAAGATTAAGCAAGGGTTTGTAAAATAAAAAATCTTTTTAATGCTTCTACATCTTTTTCATCCCCTTCAAGGCAATGTCCTCCCCATATTAGATTTTATTTGATAAAATAATAAGAAAAAATAAATAAATTTCTTATTAATATTTCATATATAAAAACATAAAACCATTATTTTTATTACACTTTTTTCTCTCAATGCCAGCTCAAAAAATTGCAACAATTATTTTGTTTACTTTCTGTTTCTGTTTCTGCTTTTTTGTTTTCTGCTCCCGCCGCTTCCGATATTTATTCTGCACAATTTGCTTTATTTTCTTTATTTGCACATCTATGCAGTGTATGTTTTTCCCTGTTTCTGTTTTTTATTTTCCTTGTTTTTTTTTTTGTTCTTCAAATGCAAAATAAAGCCTTGCAAGTGTGTATGTGACTCATTGATCAGACACACGGGGGGCAGGGAGGTGTGTATGGGCGATGCTTTAAATTGCTATTTATAAACCAGCAAGAGCTTCGTCTTCGACTCAGTTGGGTATTTTGTTTGGGGCGAATTCTCCCGCTCTCAGGGCTCATTCATCCGTCCGAAGCGCCACAGTGCGGTCTTTTAATATGTACATGTGAGCTTGTGTGTGTGTGTGTGTGTGTCTGTGTGAGGGTTGCAAGTGTGAGTGAGACACTAGTAGGCACACACATACACACACACACACACTAGCAACCAGAGAGACCGGTGCACGTGGTAGCTAAACGTGATAATACAAAATACAACAACAGACAACAAAACAAACAGAAAACCTGACAACGTCGCCGCCTCTGCCAGCTACGCTGCCAACGTCATTCTCTCTGCCACTGCCAACGTTGGCAGATTTTCCCGGATTGGTTCCCTTTACTCGTTTTTCCCAGCATATAAGCCTGGCCAATGGCAAACCTCTGCCGCACATCCTTTCGCCATTGGAGCACGAAGTGAACTTCGTTTTTTGGTCTGTCACGAAGTTTTGCAACTTGACTTGTTGCTTTCTTCCGTTGTTCTTCCTAAAAATAGTCACTTTGCAATATGGGGCGTATACTTGATATTCCCTAAATTGTCTCGCCTGGGCAAAACAGGTGACCAAAGCACGCTTTTCCACATGATCCATGGCTATTGACAATTCATGGGGCATTAGGGGTGACTAGGTTTTATGGAAATATTAAAAGATGTTTTCTTTGACAGGGTAAAAGGTTGGAAAAGAGGGGGAGAAATGCAAAGTTTTTGGGGTGGAAAATTGCCAAGGTATTCTTAGAGTTTCTTAGGATTTGTTTAACAAAAAGGAAACCTTTTGAAATTGAAGATTGGTTACTATAAATTGTAAATAACATATCCAGAAAAAAAGTAAAAATAAATATATTCTTTGGTGATCTAAAAATGAAAATGAAATTAATTTTTGGCCAGCATTTTACCATTATAAAGCTTAAAACATGCCAACCTTACGATTTATATAATAATTTCTCAGATTAATCCACTTAAACAAGCTTAAAGAAATGCTTGAAAACCTGAATCATAGATTAAAAATCGACCTCTGATCACCTACACAGAAATAGTTTCAATGTCATGAACATCTCGGGATTAACGGGAATGCAATAGAAAAGTTCTAAGAAAATGTACCGGACCTAGGCCAACATCAAAACAATTATTATAATCATTAAAACCTGAATTAAGCCCCTTGAATAGTTTGTATGTTTTTATTCGAAAACTTCTAAGAACAAGCGGCGACCTACGCCAATACTTTATCGAGTTTCGAATGAATGCAGATTAAGTATACGCTCCGTTGCAGCTACTGCGTCGTGCCTTTGGGTTTAACCAGTGGGTGAAGCACTCAGTAGCTTCCCCACTACTTTTGCTCGGAGAGAGATCTGCTTACTCGAAATGACGCAGCGTTAATTAGTTGATGGAACAAAAAGCGATCCTGTGAAGCAGCACATTACGCATACGTCACGTGTTGCAGACGCATCTGTGCCGAATTAACCGAATATTGGCACGGCAATTGGCCACGCACTCCAGCTGATATGGTATAGTATTGGCCAATATATATGTGACAGTTACTGATGGGGGGGGGCGAGATATAGCCGTCTATTGCGAAGCAACTGGAAACTTTCGTATCTCTATCTGATGGCTACCCTATCTATATGTGTATCTGTGTCTGCGCCTATCTGTATCTTTGAGTGCGCTTGCCGTTCAACGTGCACTTCTCTCTCGCACTCTCAATTAATTTGCGTCTGTGTAAGTGGCCGGTGTGTCCGCAACACGTGCTTAGAACTGTGCTAGACAGTGGGCTTTGGGTCATATTGAAATCCGCGTGACTTGGCCGCAGCAGCGCTGCTCACGACGACGTCGCTGCCCTCTGCCTGGAAAGTATATACAAATAAATAAATATAGCTAAGCTTAAAAATATAGCAGTGTTAGGTTATTTTTATGTAAATAATGTAAGGAAATATGAAGAAAAATTGTACAAATATTTAATATTAAAAGTAAAAAACAGTTTTTGACATTTTTGGTATTTCAAAAAAATATTTTTAAATATTTTTATAAAATTTTTAAGTCATACAATAAAGACAAAAGTTTAATCTTTCTAGATTTACAATACCTAACAAAGTCATAAATAATTTTAGTTCATTTTTAAGTTCACTTTTTATGCCTTTTTCTTCCTGACTCGTCTTTCCAATCACCTCTCTCAGTAAACCCTAAACCACCACTATTATCTTGACCCCTGCTGTATGTAAAAATATTCTTTTTTCTACATATACAAATATTTTGCGGTACTAACATTTAATACAAAAAAAAAATATGGAAAAACCTGAAAAACAATTATCAAAGTGGGAGAGGGAGAGCTGTTTTTCGGACCTCCGCCCTTTACGTAAGCTGACTTACTTGCAGAAAATTGCAATTTAAGCTGGCTGAGAGAGAGACAGAGAGCGGTATTGGCGACTACGGCGTTGACTGCAGCGGCGACTGCAGCAGCAACGGCAGCGGCGGTGGCGGTGGCAGAGAAAAACCAGAGACGGACATTGAGACCGAGGAAATAACTCGGCCGGCATTCTGTCGCATCGCGTTCTCATGTGAAAATCGTCGCCGCTGGTCGTTCCGTGTTTTTCGCCACTCGAGCGGGAAAAACAAAAAAGATTTCCAAACAAATTAATTAAAATTGATTTTGATTTTGATTTAGATTTTTTCTAAGGAAATCATAGATAGTTCTGGAAAGCGAACTACACTTCAAGGAAATGATTTTTGTTTAAACAAATTTCAAGTGCAATCATTGTGAAATCAATCTGAAGTGCATGTGTGTGTCTGTGCCAATCAAATAATAACTATTATTATTAAAATAGTAAAAAAAAAGGAAATAAAAAAACGCGGAAAAAGAAAGAGAGAGAAAGATAGTAGCAGGCAGAGAGAGAGAGAGACACGGAGATCTCTCGAGAAACTCTGTCCAGCGGCGCCAAAGTTACGGATCCAATTTCAAACAGTTTAATTTATTTTTAATTTTTCTACAAAACAACCAAACTCAAGAAAGAAAAATACGAAACAAGCTAATAAAAATAAGAAAACCAAAATAAAAATAAAAAACGATCTCATTTCTAAGCAGCAACCAATTCTGAGAATAAGAAAAGGTATTCAAAAAAAAAAAGGCTGAGAGAGGAAAATAGTTAGAGTTATTCATCGGATAAAAGGATAATTCAATTGATTTGGCAAATAATAATTTATTTGTTTTGATTTATATATAGAAAATATTCCAAATTATTTTTTAAAAAAAAAGAAGAAATATTAAAAAAAAACACACATTAAGCCTTTGCCTCGGTTGATTCGATTTGCAGTTTTGATTTGGCAAAAATAAATATAAAAATCCTAAAAATTTATATAACAAAAATTGTTAGTAAAAAGAACTCTTAATTTTAATTACAAATTTCTATAGCGTCACAAAAATCTTATTATAGAAAATTAATTGAACTGAAAGAAAGCGCAAGACTATACAACATGTACAATGCCTTTTCTTATTCCTTATCATCATGATCATCAATAAGAATAATCAAATGCAAAACTAAAATAAAAATCATACAAAAATAGACGCAAACAAAGTGCATTCCCTGACCACACGAAAACAACCGTTTCCATTATCAGTCACTATCAAAATTGCTTTCCTATATATAGTAAACCCCATCACTGATTCACACTCTTAACATACTTTAACCCTCTACTATCACCTAATCATTAGCAACAACGAATTGGCTATCAATTGGCTGGCAAATAAAAAACTTCTAACAACGAAAACAAAAGAGTGCTTAAAACTAATCTGCGGTTTTTTCAAAACGAAAGCTCAATATTTTCAGATAACAAAATATTAACTTTTATTTCATAAGAAACAAAAACAAAAAACACAAAAACTTAAGTTAAATCAAGTCCAAAGACAATGCGCACAGCTTTTGGCCGTGGCCCAAAGTTTATACTGCTGACCAGCAAATTCAACCACGTTCAACACAAGGAGGTTGTCACCTAGAATCTGACGGAGAAACAGTGAAAATCCTTTACCAGTGATCAGGATTAACCAGTGAAAAACGAACCCAGTTAAGATAAACCAGTGATCATGTCGTCGGATACGAATTCGTGTACCAGTTTCTTTGCCCAGGAGCATGCCAATGCCACATTGTCGCAGTATTTCCAGCAACTCAACTCTCATGTTGCTGCTGCAGCGGCGGTCAACAGTGGTGGCAACAACAACAACAGCAACAACAACAACAACAATAGCAGCGGCAACAACAGCAGCAGCGGCAACAGCGATAGTGGTAATGATGGCAGCATGACAGGATCCTCGGGAACCATGGACAACCATCGCAGCAGTGTTAGCAGCAATGATTCCGGGAAAAGTAGTGCCGGAGGAGGCGGTGGGGCAGGTGCCACCAGCAACACTGGCGTGAATGCCTGGGCCATGCAGCAGCAACAGCAAACAGCAGCCTTGCACCACCAGCAACAACAACAACAACAGCAGCAGCAGCAACATCAACACCAGCAACACCAACAGCACATACAGCAGCAGCATCAGACCCACCAGCAGCATGTTGCCGCCGTCCTGCAGCAGCAACAGCACTCTCAGCATCACGCCCAGCAACAACATCATGGCCATACGCTGCACCAGCATCATACACACCAGCAACAACAACAGCAGCAGCAACAACAGCAGCAACAGCAACACCACCAGCAACAGCAGCAGCAACAACAGCAACATGCACAGCAGCAACATCATGCCGCCCAGCTGGCCCACACACTTTCATCGACCGCCGCTGCTGCCGGCAACAACAACGGCAACACCACCAACACACACTCCATTTTTGGCACCGGCAACTTCCACTACAAGACCAACAACTCGTGGACGCTGCCCACGCTGGCGTATCAGCGGATTTACCAGGAGAACTCCCATTACCAGCGCAACTCCTTCATGGAACCCCTCAGCAATGCCGCTGCAGCTGCAGCAGCTGCTGCTGCCAGTTGCAATGCTGCTGCTGTTGCAGCAGCCGCTGCCGTTGCAAGTGGCAATCAGGGTTCAGGGAATGGCAATGCAAGTGGTGGCAATAATAATCCTGCTGTGACGGGAACTGGTAATGGAAATGGTGGAAATCACGGACAGAATACCAACAACAACAACAATAACCATAGTGGAAATAGCAATAATAATAATAACAACAACAATAACAATAATAACAACAATGTATCCTCCGTGCAACATGTGGCAAATGCCGTGGCAGCAGCTGTGATCGCCAACGAGCATCACAACCATTTGAATAGCTTGAAGGCGAGGTTTCAGCCAGCCAGCTCAGGTGAGGTGAAAATGGTTAGGAAAAATGGGGGGGAGATTGGTGGGGAAATGTATAAAAAACGAAGGAATCTTATGAAAAAGGAAAATTAAATCTATTTTCTTAAAAATATACAAAAAAAAAGAGATGTTTACTTTAGATGGAAGGTGCTAGAAAAGCTATTTTTCAGCCATAAACTATAATTTACTCTGTCAAGATAAGGGTTTAGAGTATCACTGCAAGTGACTAATGCTTAGTAACAGGGAAAACTCACACAAAAGCAGTTTTGATCATTATTTTAATAATAACTTTACAAGTATAAAACATCTTTGAGAAATATATTTAAAACGAGCAACCTAACCTTTAATGTCAAAGCCATCAAAGTTTAGTTTTCTTTCACAAAGCTACCTTTCCACCCCACAAACTTTTCCATATTTCCATTATTAGTTTTAAAAATTAGTCAAAAAACATTCCACTAAATAAGTTTGTAACTTTCTACATACTTAAAGTACTTAAAAACACAATGGAAACCGAAAAGAACTGATAAAATGCATGACTAGTTCGGTGATTTTTCATGTTTTTTCCCACTTATATCCACTGATCTTGTATTAGAAAATGACTATTCCGTTGTTAATGTTCCGTTGATATATGTTCTGCCCTTAGTCTATAGAACGTCTATCTGCATCCCGCTGGGCTGATATCATCCGACGTCAGCGCGGCCGAGAACTTTGCGCATTTGCGAGCTTGTAAAGCGCAAAAGTCAAGAAAGCTTCCAGCGCACACGTGAGCTCAGCTGGGCTGGCAATATAGTATATATAGTACATATATGTATATATACTAATATAGCCTATATATACTGTACCCACTGACGTCAACATTATTCGAATTGAATAGGGAAATGGAAATGGAATTCAAACGTGTAGATACAAAAGTATCTTGGGACTGAGGGATCGTCAAGTTTATTGGTTCGCAGCCTACCGCAAGGGAATTTTCATTAATTTCAGGAAAAAGTTTTTCTTTTTTCTATAGTAACATACTACTGTTAAGTACTTATATATACTTATCTTACCAGTTTATAGTTTTTTTTAGTATTTATTTAACCGGAATTCTTCACATTTTGCATGGCAATTCGAACTGGAAAATTATTTCACAAGCCGTTAAATTTCACATTTATTATTAATCAAACGGACACATCTGTTTGGCATTTAGTTTGGCTTGGTCTAAAAGGGTTTCCATTTTTAGGAGTTTTCCTTTTTTTGGCCTTTCCTTTCACCTTTTTTTGATCTACTTTGAGAATGCATTTGGCACAAATCCTTTTGAAAATCGCGACTAAGCTGCCACCAATTTCCATTTCCTTTTTCCATTTATTTTTTGTTAACTGACCTCGGTTGGTCACCGTTGAGAAAATGCATTTGGTTTGATTAGATTTCGGAATTAGGCTGATGAGATTTTTATGGCAGATGATATGGAAATGCATATGGCAAATGAAATGTGGGTGGTCTTTCATCTCTGCCTCCCAATTGTTTTTGCTGGGGGCTGGTGAAATTTTTCGCCATTTTCGCTATTGAATATACTGGAAATGACCTTTTAAAGCCGGAATGTATAATAATTTGTATGAATTTTCGTTTTTTTTTTTATGAGTGTGGGAAGAGTGCGGGGGAAAGCTAAAATGGATAAATGTCAGTTGTCGCTGTGGGTGGGTACCCCATGCTAGGGAAATTTCCGCCACCCTTGACAAAGCCAAATAGTGCTCATTTCTAAATTAATTCTCATTTGATTTAATGGGTTTTGTAGTGAATAAATGAAATAATTTTTATATTTTTACTAGGTATTTTATATCAGTAATTTTAATCAAATTTATTTCTTTTTTCTACTTTCAGGTAAGCATCGAAAATCCTATTTTTGGACTGCACTTTCCCTTATTTGTGTTTGAAAATGTTTCTGTGTTTTGCTAAACATTTTGCTGGTAAGCTTTTGTCTTGTTTCATCGACTAACATTCATGATTTTGAGGAAATGAGGTAAAAGGGAAATGAAAATATTAAAAACAAAGATTTTTTGAACCTTTTTCAAGTCAAATTATAACTGAAAAAATGGTTTTTACAATTTATTAAGTTGGGTTTTAATTACTGAAAAATATTATATTTTTTAATGGGTAAGATATTTGTAAGAAAATGTTTAAAAAATCAAAAAACTTCCCATAAAACTTTAATTTTTAGGAAGTTTACCTTAAAAATTGATTTATTTCTAAAAAAAATTAAATTTCTATTTTAAAAATCTAAAAAAAAACCAACCTGAGCTTAGAAAATCTCACTCAATTAGACGAGCGCAAAGCTTTTGCGTTTTGACTCAAAACAAAGCTGCTGCCTCTGCTGGCAGCGGAAAATCTGCTTCCGCATTGACGCTGGCTTTGGCTGCGCAGCTCCCGCCAAGCGTGGCAGCAGCGACGCAAGCGTCAGCGGCGAACTTTGGCAGGCTGCGCGAAAGAAAGTAAACAGGCGGAATGCGCAAAAAAAAAAGCGAACGTGGAAGAGAAAGAGAGAAAGACGGGGGCTTTCATGCTTTCGGTTTCAAGTTTGGCTTTTATTCGTGTGTGTTTATTTTTTTTTTTTTTTGTTTTTTATCATTCGTTAGTTGGCTGTCTGTTTCGTCTCGCTTCCCCCTCAGCTTTTCACTCAGTTTCTCAGGCTGTTTCTCTGCTTCTCTGCTGTTGCTCTGCTTTGGCTGCGCTCAGCTGCGAAGCTGCGTTTCAGCGCGCGCGTTCACTCAACGTTCGCAGTCCGGCGGCACCGGTTCGGTTCACGGCTCTCTACCAAAAAACACAAAAATCTAAATAAAAACCAAATCAAATAAAAATATATAGCCAACCCCATCCAAATTCCGAAACAAAAAACAAACTACAAAAAAAAAAAAAACATCCCACTCACCCATACAAAAGCCGTCGAAAAATAAAAAGCCATAAAATAATACGTATACGACGCGTGTCTTCGTCTCTAGCCCAGCGCTTTCGAATTCGTGCGAACTTGTGAACTTTCGTTTCCTTTAACTAACGGTCTTTTGGCCAGGATCGAGGCTTGAGATTCCGTAAGAGCAGCCAAAACCATTTTGGATATAAAATGTATAGTGCAGTGCTTGAAATTTTATGATCTCCCACAAATTTGAGAAATTTAAGAGCAAAAGATCTTGAAAGTGAAATTCCTGAAAGGAAAATTAAGAATTTATAAAGAAATTCGCAATTCGTAAACATAAAAACATATAAATTTAGATATAAAATATTATAAAAGAAATAAATCAAAGGTGTTTATGAGTTTGCTAATGAAAATTAAGTTTAATAAACTTTGAATAAAATATATAAAAAATACAAAATTATCTATAATTTAAACAGAAAATCATTTAAAAGACTTAACAACTTTATAAAATAAATTATAAGAAGTCTAAAAACTTTTCTTGACATTTTTACAACTTCTCAAACAAATTTGCCTAAAATTACTAAAAAAGCTTTCAAGTTTAAATTTGTAGAAATTTTAATTAAAAACGTTTGTTAATTTACTGCTTTTTGAGTATTAACAAAAACTGTGAAATTTGTTAACTGTAAAGAATATTCTCATCTTGCAAAATTCGAAATTAAAAAGTTTGAAAAATTCAAAATAAAACTAAAAAATTCTAAAAATATTCCAAATTTCTTCTACCAAATCTTACCCGTCAATAAATACAAACAATAAAAACAAATTTTTAACCACAAACCAAACATTGACTCACTTAAAGAATAAAGAATAATAATTAATACTATAACTTGCCTGAACGTCAACCCGCAGCAGAAAAAAGGTGCTGCGATCGGGTTGAAAAACAGCAGAAACGCATAGCAAAAACATTTTGCTAGCTGTTTGGCTTTTTTTCTCTGTTTGTATTGCCGCTTCAAGGTCAAACTTTTCTCATTCAAAAGCGGCGGGCAGCAGCGAGAACTGAACCCCTTAACAAACGGGGCCCAGCCCCACACACAGATAAATAAAAATTAAAAAAAAAAAAATAAGAAAATAAAACAACGCTCAGTACGCGGAATAGTTGACAAGCGAATAATAATAGAAAAAGGCAAACAAAACAAACAATAGAAAAATTGCGAATGCAAAAAGTAAAACGGCGACAGAAACTGAGCCAAAGCCCTCGCCATATTCTGAGTGTAGAAAAGTGTAAGCTCGCTCTCGGGCTGTTAGTGTTGCTGCTGTGGGGGTGATCGCCACCAGCAATTAGAAACAGCAGCAGCAGTAACGTGCGATAAAAAGCTTTTCTCGGTTTTAAATTCCAATTTGTTGTTAATTAAGTCAACAGCCAGTGCCGAAGCAGCAATATGTTTGGGCCACACATGGCCAGCTAAGTGATACATGCAATAAATAACTCTCAATCGAGCAAGGAATTTAACAAATTGTGATCTCAGCAATGAGAATGGACTATCAAATGCCACCGCCAGCATTGGCGCTACAGCAGCAGCAGCAGCAACAGCAACAGCAGCAACATGGCCTGCAGCATCAGCAACTGCAGCTACTGCAGAATGTGCAACAACAGCAGCAGCAGCAGCAGCAGCAACAGCATCAACAGCAACAATTGCTGGGCAACATGGCGCAGACGGCGGCCTTGCCACCACTCAGCAGCTTGCCCCTGCAAGTGGTGCACAATCTGCCACATTTGCTGGCCGGCAACGGTGGCAACACGGGCAATGCCAACGGCAATACCAGCAATTCGAATCTCAATGTGGCCTGCAACAACAATCTGTTACGCAGCAACATGCAACACCAGCAGCAGCAGCAGCAACAACAGCAACAGCAATTGCTGAATAATCTCAGCAATGGCAATAATGTTGCCAATGGAACGTTGCCGCCGCCCACGCAATTGTTGCAGCATCATCTGCAACATTTGGCTCATGTGAATGTGAATGCAGCAGCGGCTGTGGTGGCTGTGGCAGCCAACAGCCTGCAGCAGCAACATGCCAATGGCAACAGCAACGGAACGGGCAACAGTGCCGGCAGCAACA